GGAGAAGAGGTGGCCAGCTTTCCTCGTCAAACCACCGGTTTGTGACCGTGACCTCAAATTTATCAATCAAGTACGAATCAAACTGGCCTCAGGCAAAGCATGGTGTCTTTGTATACGGGCCGCAATTTTCGGTTGGCTGGGCCCCGCACTGGTGAGCCTCGGAAGATAGCTTCATCAACTTAGGCTATTTTGAACTGGTGGTTTAAGGGCTGCAGAATCACATTGCCCCCGATGACCTGCGTCGCCAGTAGAATCACAGATGCTTTTTTTTTTTTTTTTTTCCGAATAGCCCTTGTGTAAAACCCTCTATCCCGGCGGTGGTAAGAGAACCGTAAGGATTGAGGGTTTCTCCATCGGGCTGCTCCATCTATTGGTGGGGAGCCGCACCTGCTGGAAACCAGGTCCAGCGTCCCATTGATACATCTTATAACACAGAGATTGTTGTTTGTTGTCTTCCTGGGGCTGTGGGCTTTTTACTTCTCGGACCCGGGTCTATTATTCTGCCGTGCAGCGAAATGGTATAGGTATGTGTGCCTTTGGTCGTCATGGTGGAGTCCATGCCGGCCAACTTCGTGGGTCAGTTGTTTGATGTTTATTTCTCTGGATGTGGCACATGGTGGCGTTGATCTGTTTTGACCAGATCATCTGGTAGGACGGTAGCAGTATAGGTGTAGACTCTGTAGAGTAGACTCCTCAGTGCGATTCTCTACAAACTGCATGAGCAGAAAGAGGTGAGAAAAAAGAAGGGCGATGCATGAGTGCCCTTGCTCATGAATCCCTTTTGATGATGCCAGAAGCCGTTTTTTATCACTTTTTATGTATGTAATGCCTCACGGAAGGCTTTTTCAAATGTGATTGTTCTCTCCGTGTTCTGTTGTTCATTTTATCTTCAGTCTGCATGCCAACTTTTCTATAGCTTATTTTAACCTCTTGCTTAATTCGGGCTACGTAATTTGTAATTGTCTATATCAGAACTGTCGACGGTGCTGCCAACACAGTGTTAAAACTTGAAAGGGGGTTAGGGAGGAGACTGAGTATCCTGTCGCACTTGCGAGGGAAACCTCCTCAAGGACTTCGATGATGGTGTTAACTTGTGTCAGGTTTTTTTTTTTTTTTTGGCAGGTGCGATGATCCTGGTCACCGCACAATGCAATAGTCACAAGCAGATAATGCCGTTCAATTGCAACTCAAATGAAAGAGGTCGGAGCCTCGGAGGGGGAAGAAGACAAGGGAAGACAAAGAACGAAGAACGAAGAACAGAAAGAGAAGGAAGATAAACACAAGCTGGAACTGATGTCACTTCTCACTCATCTCACCTCCCTCTATCCATGTGGCTGTAGGTCTCTAACCTGCAAAATTCTTGAGTCATTTAAATAGCCTTTGCGCATTAAGGATGAGGCGTAAAGCATACAATTAAAACCATCTACACCGTAGGATTCATCTTCCTGATTACCAGAGGTGGACTTACTGGCAAAACAAAAGCCCCGACTTTGCAGTTTGGGCTACATGGCGATGGTTTGTGTGTCTGACTTCTACGAAATATGGGACGATGACATCATATCATATATCCAAACAGAATATATATATATAGAACATTATATATAATATATATGTATATATTTATATATATATGTGTGTGTACAGACTGTGGAGGGTTCAGCCTCCTGATGAGTCAGTGAAACTCCGACGAAACAGTTTGTCACAGCCCCTCGTTTGTTGTCTTCTTCTCCCTCTCTGCCTACGGTTTACCGGGCAGCTCTGTTCGGCGATATATAAGGGTTCAGACTCCTGATGAGTTGGTGAAACTCCGACAAAACAGTTTGTCACAGCCCCTCGTTTGTTGTCCTCTTCTCCCTCTCTGCCTACGGTTTACCGGGCAGCTCTGTTTGATGAACCCTCAACATATATATTCTGTTTGTGACGATATATATATATATATATATTCTGTTTGACGATATATGTATATATAGAGCTGGAGCTGGAGCTTGTGCTCTTGACCTCAGCAGTCCATTTTCAAAACGTGCCTATCGCCTTCACCCGAATAAAACACCCAGTCATTATCGCTGCATCTGGACTGAAAGTTGTGCCAAAGGCAGCTATAATGACCAGGCGTTCGATTCCGGTGAAGACGGTAGCAGCAAATGTGGGAGAATGGGGAGGAGGACGACATATACTGCGTTGACCCGCTTGGCCGGCCTCCTCTGGAAGCTGGTTGAAGCCCTGAGATGCACTTGTCCGAGTGGCTGAGATGTGGCTGTTGATCCCAGGCTTCCTGGACACAGTAGGCCCTGAATGCATCTGGAAACGCTTTCTAAATTTTTGGATCTGTGGCTGTGATTGACTTCTATCAAAATCATCGACTCTTGGTCTGCTGGACCCAATGGAGCCTGATTGGTGACTTTCCTGGGGCTTGGGTTAACTTTTTGAGGCCTTGGCCTGGACAGCGTGCCCCAAAGTTATCCATCTCAAGATGTATAATAACAGTTATTACAAGCCCCTAAGATCCTGTAGCACATTGTTTTACCACAGTACCTCCACTCAGCCAAGGGCAGCGCCCCAGAGACTGCTAGATTACTGTTGTGACCGTGGATAATTTGAATGGCACATATATATATATTATATATGGTTACATGTTAAGATAACCTTTATTCAACCCTTTTTTTTTTTTTTTTAGCCTGTATTCAACTCAGTTCCAGCATAGGCCAAAAAATAGGAATCAAGGCAAGGCCCCATGGGGAGCCTTTGGAGTTTCAATTTCCATACGCTGTGGGAATGGGGAAGGCAATTGTGTGATTGGGATGACTTGCTGACACCGAACGAGCTGGACTCCCGTCCCCTTGAATAACGGGGCAGCCCCAAAAAGGCCTCAAAGAAACACATACAAGAGAAGAGAGCGCACGAAACAAACTGCAATGGTGCCAAGCTGCTTCGAATGGACAGAATGCTATTTTCTTTTATGAATTATAACCAACCTCTGTGAAGCGGAACTCTTCAGGTATGCGTGCTTTAGTGTCATTGTAGTGATTGCATCTGTCTCTAGCCAGCAAGCTGTCATTGTAGTGATGCATCTTTCTCTAGCTAGCGAGCCTACTGATCTGCACGTATTCATCATAGCCATCACAACAGATGGGCCCAAATATTCATAGCCATCACAACAGTTGGGCTCAAATATTCACAGGCATCACAACAGTTGGGCCCAAATATTCATAGNCATCACAACAGATGGGCCCAAATATTCATAGCCATCACAACAGTTGGGCTCAAATATTCACAGGCATCACAACAGTTGGGCCCAAATATTCATAGCCATCACAACAGTTGGGCCCAAATATTCACAGGCATCACAACAGATGGGCCCAAATATTCATAGCCATCACAACAGTTGGGCCCAAATATTCACAGGCATCACAACAGTTGAGCCCAAATATTCATAGGCATCAAAACAGTTGGCCCCAAAACTCTCGGAAGTTCGCATAGGTTAGAATTTCTCACCCTGCCAATGATTCGGCTATTATGAAAGTCCAGCTCAGTGTTGTCGATTTCCCACTCAGGTATAGAGCTGTGATCAGCGCCTCCATTGTTATCGCGAACCAGGTCCACCAATCCGCTACCAGAGGTGACCCTCTTGCCAAGTGGTTTCTGCACACACAAGGTGTTCCAGAAATGCCCTCCACACCCCCTTCATCCCCTTCATCCCCTCGGTCAACGACTCCCCCCTCGGTCAACGACTCCCCCCTTGGTCAACGACTCCCCCCTCGGTCAACGACTCCCCAGACACCCTTCGGTCAAACCTTCCAACATGATAGAGGAGAACAACCCCGTACAAAATCCATCAAGACTATCCAAGAA